TTTTAAAAGATTTTTTTCTATTTCATTCCAAAATGTCTTTTCCAGATGATCCCTAAAACGTGCACAATATTCGCACTGGCTGGGTGCACGAATTCTGGAAAATCCACGCTGGCGAAGGAGTTTCAGCGACATGTGAGAAGAATTACCATAATGACAGGGATTTTTGGAATTTCGAAGAAAATTTCACTTTTACACTGCAAAAGTGCGAAAATTGGAGAAAAAATATTTCGAAAACGCGAAAAAATTATCGTAAAACCTGTATTAGAAGGGCCCCTTTAACTGAAGCAAAAAATCGTCAAGTTTTTCTTTCGAAAAAGCTTAAAAGTGGTTCAAAAAGGCGAATTGTCACATGACATGGCCTAAAGATGACTTAAAATCGTCGAAAATTGGTTTGAAATAGCTCAAAAATCGGCTCAAAATGATCCAATAGTCGAAAATAGTCAAATTGGCATTAAAGGTGGTGTACGGTGAAATTTTTTATTGCATCAAAATGTGCAGAAATGCATGTAGATTGACATAAAAATAAAGAAAAAATTCAAAAAAAATTCCTTCGTCGAGAAAAACGCATCGAAAAATACGCTGAAAGCCCTTAGGGACGAGGTTTTTTCTAGGCCGCCCGGTGAGTAAAAGCGCGCGAATTCAAACTTTTAAAATTTTTTCGCTCGTTTTCACTGTTTTTTCAAAATTTCCGATGTATCTAGAAGAAAAATTGACAAAAACCTAGAAAACTCTTGAAAAAACCAAAAAAAAGTGAAAACGAGCGAGAAAATTTTAAAAGTTTGAATTCGCGCGCTTTTACTCACCGGCCGGCCTAGAAAAAACCTCGTCCCTAAGGGCTTTCAGAGTATTTTTCGATGCGTTTTTCTCGATGAAGGAATTTTTTTCGAATTTTTTCTTTATTTTTATGTTAATCTACATGCATTTCTGCACATTTTGATGCAATAAAAATTTCACCGTACACCACCTTTAAAACGCATGAAAATGAAAATGAATGGGCAAATTCTCTTATACAACCATCACTTATACTACCTTTCTCTTATACTACCGAGTCTCTTTTACTACTTTTTACCACAGAGTCTCCCATACTACCAAAAGAAACAAGACTTTCGGCCTAAGCCTATAGTTTTCTGGGGTACAACCCATTTCATACAGGGGTACAACGCTTGTGATTCGGGGGTACAGTTTTTTAAAGGAGTTTCGGAATTCCTGCATTTCAGAGCTTGAAAATCTCAGAATTCTTAGAATTTCAGATGTTTGGAATTTCAGTATTTCGGAATCTGAGAATGCATCCAAATGACCGAATTTTTGGCTTCAAAAACTCTAACATTCAAATGACCTTAAAGGGGGAGTCCGACCAAAAATTTTTATTGCATTAAAATGTTCGAAAAGTTGTCTATTTTCCCAATATTATAGAGAAAAAATTTGAAAAAAATCCGAAATCCCCGAAAAATGCGAACAATTTTCAAAAAAAAAGTTGCTAGGAGGGACGAGGATTTGAATTCCCGCACAGTGAGAAACCTTGACCACGGCGCCTGACAGCCGTTTTTGCAATTGGCCGACAGTGGTTTTTTTACATTTTCTAGCTGCCGGACATGAACACCGAAAAAATCCGGAAAAATTTCCATGTAAGAAAGGCGCTATGATGCCGTGGCCTAGGTTTCTCACTGCGCGGGAATTAAAATCCTATTTTTTTTACGCAGTTTTTCGGGCATTCAGGATTTTTTTTGAATTTTTTTGCAATAATATTAGGAAAATACATATTTTTTGAAACATTTTAAGGCAATAAAAATTTTTGGTCGGAGTCCCCCTTTAAATATACGTTTAGGTTACTGTAGCCGGCGTTTCTCTTCCACAGCTCCGATTTTCTACCAGCATAATAAGGAAAAATTACTTTTTGAAGCAATTGAAATGAGAAAGCGAGTGACATTTTCCGCATTCCGCAGTGTAGATGGGTCTTGAAATTATTCTTCTACAGAATTCACATATTTTAAGGCTTCCTGGCATCGTTGCACGAAGCCAGGGCTCCAACTCAACGATGGTTCTCGGGGCGATCTCTACAATATCCGAATCGAAAAGTGTAATATACTTCTGTCTGGCCATTCGAGTCATGAATTCGTCACATTTTGGACCAGTGATCTTATGAGGCTCTTTCTGGATGATTGAATGAATCCATGACATTTTACAAGTTCCATCTTCACACATCATCTCTTCAAGGATCGCCAGGAATAGAGCGCGTTCTGATTTTCTGGAAAAAAGCTAACTTTTTTGAAGACTGTGTATAAACATATCAGCCTGTTTGCCGTGCCTCCGACGCTTCAAACAGCTGGCTGGTGCGCCTTCGGCGCGATCCTTACGTCAAACTGCTGGCTTCACTGATAATTGAAGAATTTCTGGTGCATCCAGTCATAGTCACATACTCGGTCGGCGACTTTTCGTCTGTAGAAATCACAAATCGCCATGGACGGAAGTCCTTTTTCACTGCTCCATCAGTTGTATTCATAGTCTTCACCAGCGATCTGGATAGCTCTCCCGACTGTTCTGGAGTGATTTGAGTACGCATGAAAGCTTCCGGATGCACTGAAAATCGTAGTTCTGCCATCCACAATGATATTATACAAAACTTACAACCCCAAGCAACAGTTGAGATGTGTTTCGCAAATAGCAAGTTCATTTTCTTCCTCATCATCGTTGGCTCCAATAGGAATTGATTGATTAGATAACGGTGACTATCATGGAACTTTGTTGATGCTTTGAGAAATTTTTCGAATGATGGAGCCTGAAATTTTCCCATTTTTCTATTTTTTCTACTAGAAATATTTTTAAAACCTCGGTAGAGAGATTTGCGAGAACGGAGTGCAAGTCGAAATCATCATGAGGCGTCGGATCATCAGTTAAATTACCTGGCTCGTCGTCGGAAAGGTCCATTCTGGAGATAAAACGTTTTTGAAAAGCCTGAAAACCGAACTTCCGCCAAAATATTTCCAAAGAGTACGCAGTTGTTTACTTCGGTGTTTGCGTCCGATGTGCGTAGCTTTACGACAAAAACATTTCAAGCTCTGAGAAATAATATCATCATTCTTCTGTTCTGTGGTTTTTCAACATATTTTTCTCTCGTTTTGTTAAAAATCGAGAGTTTCGGACTTGAAGATTTTTTAGAAAACTTGCTTCCCTTAAAAAAACTCGTTGCTCATCAAGAAAAACGATTTCTTATTTTTGTGAAAATTGATTGTTTAAACATTTTCTTAAAGATAGCTATTAAAAATGCTTCTTCTTCCCAAAACTTGGCAATTAATTTTTCCAAGATGTTTCCAGGTGTAATGGACGTCGATGCTGCCATTCGCACCGCCATGGAGTCGGGCGGCTTCTCGGTGCCGGCTCCTAATCAGAAGATCTTCAAGGAGCAATGTGCCTTCTGTTTCAAAGATCCACACGGACCAGACGGCCTCTACATCAATCTCAGAAACTATCACGCCTTCTGCAAACAGCACGCTGTCATCTATGCTAACCATACGAATTACAACCTCTGGGTGCAATTCGAGTCTACTAAAGTAGCTGTCGATGAACAGAGAAGCGATGGAGAGCCGACAACCAAGATGACCAAGCTCACAATCGATGCAGAGCCGAAATACGAGTTCGAGGACAAATACTCTGTGGTGATTCACCCAGAATATGACAATAAGTTCTCCAACGTTCAAGGCATTCCAGAGATTGTAGAGTAAGTTTTTTCTATTTTTTTAATGAAAAAACATGTTTTCAGTACAATCAAGACTATCAACGAGTCCACTAGCGCCGAACGTTTGGCCCTTCTCACCTCCACCAACAACGGATGGGATAATGAAATCAAACTGATTACGAGACATGCTAATTTGGAACAGAGTGACGAGGGAAAGGTTCTAGCCTTATCTGGATGGAATTGTGAAGTTGAGGACTGTGGACTCTCTGAGAATCTGTGGCTTAATTTGACCGATGGAGCGATTCGATGCGGTCGAAGCCAATTTCTTGCCAATGGAGAGAAGACTCGTGGAAACGGACATATGCAAGACTACTACAATGCCACACGATTCCCCCTTGTTGTCAAATTGGGAACAATTTCTTCGAATTTGGAATCTATCGACGTTTTCAGTTATGAGGAGGACGACGCTGTGATCGATCCAAATATAGTGAAACATCTGATGCATTTCGGTTTGGACCCAGAGAAAATGGAGAAAACTGCCAAGAGCACACTGGAAATGGAGTTGGATATGAATGAAAAATGGGAATGGGCACGTTGTACTGAGGATGGAGCGATGTTAGAGCCAATCTTCGGTCCCGGCTACACTGGACTCATTAACACTGGAAGCAGTTGTTATATGAACTCGGTAAGACTAAACTTTTCTTTCTTCGGCAAGATTCAGGCTAGGTCCATTTTAGGTAAATTTAAGACATATTCATGCCATTTTAGACCGATTTCAAATTTATACTATTTCAGGCCGATTCTAGATCAATTTTAGGCAAAATTCAGAATATTTTAGTCAATTTAGGTCAATCTTAGGCCAGCTGAGGCCAATTTTTATCTATTTCGGACTATTTCAAGCCCGTTGATGCTGATTTTCACCCAATTTAGCCCAGACCGAGACCAGTTTTACCGAGTTCCAGCCAAATTAGGCGTATTTAGACAAATTTTAAGCGAATTTCGGTCAATTTCAGTTTTATTTAAGTCCAGTTTAGGCGAATTTTGAGCCAGTTTTTTTGTCAATTTAAGCCTATTTTCGACCGATTTTGATTTAAAATCAAAACTCAGTAAGCTGTCTCGGTAACATTCCGTGAAAGAAAAAAAAGATAATGTGTTCGGGGGGAATCGAACCCCCGTCGAATGCTTGGAAGGCATCCATGCTGACCATTACACCACGAACGCGGATGTTTCTTGTAATAGCGATAAAGATAACTGGCCAAACGCCGAAGACAGTCGAAGAAAGAATATTGGATGCAATCCTGTTTATCGCAGAAAGAAGGTTCTCTATGCGTCACTTCTATATGCTTCAAAAGACTTGTGACAAATATATGCGCGTTCGTGGTGTAATGGTCAGCATGGATGCCTTCCAAGCATTCGACGGGGGTTCGATTCCCCCCGAACGCATTATTCTTTTTTTAAAGTCTTTTTTATTTTAATTTCCCAATTTTTCAGGTCCTTCAAGCACTGATTCAAGTCGACTCATTCCGCAAACGTTACAGCGATCAGGCTCTTCAAACGATGCTCAAATGCCCAATTGAAATGCTTCACAATGATTTCAACGCCCAGTTCGCAAAGGTTATCCATGCGATGCTCAGTGGAGACTACTCTTCTGAAGCCGACCCAACACACAACCACATCAAACCACTGCAATTCAAAAGAGTCGCTGCTGGAAGTCACCCAGAATTCTCTACCGCTAAACAACAGGATGTCGAAGAATACATTAGGTTCCTCTTTGAGAATGTCTCGAAACAAAACCAGAACGAAGATATTGACCCAACGAATTCATTGAGATTCCAGACGTGGAATCGCTTTGAAGACAACGCATCCGGTAAAGTTAGATACACTGAACAGGAAGAAATCATTCTTCGCTTGCCACTTCCAGAGGTAAGTTTTTAGAACCAATTATCAAATTATCAATGTATGGCTTTAGGGTATCATGAAGCCAACCGAGAAAGAGAACCACTTCACAGTGGATATGACTGATGCAGTCCAAGCATGCTTCTCCAAACAGTTTGTCGAAGGCTATAAATCGCCAATCACTGGAGAGCCAAAAGGAGCAAATAACACTCTTTCCATGAAGACGTTCCCTGATTATCTCATTCTCCAAGCCTCGAAATTTGCCTATACCATGGAAGGAGTGCAGAAGAAGCTTGATGTTGAGATGGAGGTCAGCGAAACTCTTGATTTGAGCGCATTCCGTGGACATGGAAAGCGAGAGGATGAGGAGTTGCTGCCAAAAGACTCGGCACCGCCAGCCGATGCTCCACCAGAGATCCCTGCCAACGTTCGCGCTGTAGCTGGAGATCTTATGATTATGGGATTCCAAGAGAATCAGAGTATCAGAGCAGCATACTTCTCCAACGGAAACGCCGAGGTTGCTACAAACTGGCTGATGGAGCATTTGGAGGAGCCAGATATCGATGCGCCGTTTGTCATGCCAACTGGAACACCATCAGCTCGTGGGGAGATTGATCCGAATCTGGTCGATTCGATTGTCGAAATGGGATTCTCAAGGCATCAGGCGACCTACGCATTGAAACAAGTTCCAACTGTCGCTGAAGCTGTCGAATGGCTTTTCACCAATTTGGATAGTGTAAGTTTTTCAATATTTATTTTTTAATAAGTAATCAGAAGCAGTGTGTGGTCTCGAAACTTTTTTCGAAAAAAATCTGATGGCCTAGAAAGTGCCCCGTGCCTACCATGATGGCCTAGAAAAATCAATTTGCAAAAGTTAGGCCATCATTCTAAAATCGCCTAGGAAACTTACCAGGTGAAGGACAGGTCAATTCTAGGCCGTAAAAGTCTGTGGCCTAGAAAATTCAACTTGCGAATGTTAGGCCACCATGTCAAAATGGTCTAGAAAACACACTAAGCGAATCTCAGTTCATTTTTAGACCGTTTTGATGGGATGGCCTAACTTACCCAAGTTAAGTTTTCTAGGCCACCAACTTTTTTTTGCCTAGAAATGACCTGATATTCATTTGGTGTGATTTCCTCTCTTTCGAAAAATCAGTTTACGACACCCCACACAGGTTAGAAGTCTAAATTTATATCCATTCAGATCCCCGAAGAGTCCGCCGCCGCCACTGGAACCAGCTCTGATGCTCCAGAAGCTTCAGTCACCGAGTCAGCGAGCAAAAAGTCATTCACAGATGGTTCCGAGAAGTATCAACTGATTGGAATCATCACCCATATGGGCTCTCGTCCTGATTCTGGCCACTATGTTGCTCATATGCTGAAGGACGGAAAATGGGTGCTCTTCAACGACGAGAAGGTTGCTCTTTCTCAGGACCCACCAATCAAATTGGCCTACATTTATCTATACAAACGTGTCGATTAAATCTCCTGCTTTTTTAATGCTCCCATTTTTATTTATTACTTAATTTATATAAGAAATTTCTCCCTTCCTTCCCTACAGTAACCTACTATCTATTTATTTACCCGTTTGTAAATCTTACATTTTTTCTATTCATTTCCCCGATGTCTGCTGTTCTCGTGTGTCCGTCCCATTGCTTTTTATCATCATTATTTCAATGCATAACTTTAATTTCTCTTTTGAATTAATTTCAATTTTATGTCTGTTTTGCTCTCGAAATTTACATGAAAAATCTAATTTCCTGATCTCCCTTTTTCTTAGTCTTCCACCCATTTTCTCAAGTTTCGTGACATTTTTCATTCTTCTGGAGGAGGAATGATGAAGTGAATCGGATTGAAATCTCCGATTCTCCATCTTCCTTCCCTATTCTGTGATACCTCCCATTAATTAAGTCATTTGGGTGGGGTCAAGCATTTCCAATAGGACACAGAATCAAAATTTCAGTGTTTCACGAAAAAAACGAAAATTTCAAAAAATTTTAATTTTGGAACTTTGTGCTCAGATGTGTGTAGGCGGCATTAAGATAGACTTAAAAACCGTTTTGCAAAGGTTCATGAAGTTTTCTCAAGTTTGAACATAATTTTGAAAATTTCGATTCTCAACCCTATATGTATCCTATTAGCTAGGAGGCCCAGGACACCATGGACATGAAGCGCTCGGTAGTCCATGACTACATACTACATACCACTTTAGGAGTCCCATATCCCTTTGAGTTATTCAAGTGAATGTCCGAGACACACAGACACACGGAAAAGTTTCCTTAGTAAGAAGTAGATTTTTCGTTCGAAAATGTTCTACTAGTTCTTTTGACGACTTCCGTATTTTAATACATATTTTAATACATATTTCAAGTTTTACCTGTTTCAGAAAATTTCTAAATGTTTATTATTTTATGGGGATTTCGTTAGATGTTTATAAAATCTGGTTGAGAAACACACTAATATGGTTTTGAGCAAACGATCTCAACAAATATGTTTCGAAAAGTTAAAAAATGTTAGAAAGCAGAAAAAATACTGACAAGTGAGTTTATCCAGAGCCGCAACTTTAAACAATCTTTAGGTTTTAAAATTAGCTCAATTTCTGGAAATTAGTAAAATCTATAATATATTCTAGCGAGTTGAAAAAAAAACGCGATTTAAAAAAATAATTATCCCAGCTCACTAATACAAATATACGTTGTATGTGTGTAACCTTCACAAAAATGAACATTCTTGCCTATGTCAGAACTTCAAAAAAAAGAAAGCAGCTGACTATTTCTAGTTGCCTGTTGATTCCAAAAATCTGAAATACTCTCCGATTCCCTCTAATTTGGAAATAGATTCATATCAGGTGTTTGAAGGTTGTCGCCAAGAATTTATTTTGGATGGAAAATTTTTTGAATTTGGTTTTCCGGTTTACTATGGCATTATCAATTACAAATTTCGAAAAAAATTCAAATGATCTGAAACAGTAAATTTATATGATTCAGATTTGTTTGATTCCAATTAGAACTAACGCATCGCAATAAACTTCCATCTTCGTACCTTGGAAAAATATGAAATTCGGCTCTGAAATTGTCTGAATAATCCATATTTTGTTGAAACTAATGTTTGTTGGAAATTCCGTACGCCTTAAAAAATATTTGAATTCGGAAATTGTCTGAATAATTCATACTGTTCTCAAACTACTGTGTTTTAATATATCCCAATGGGGTCCCCCAAGAATAATATTTCGGAGAGAGCAAATCAGAACCAATATATCAGACGGAACACCAAATCACTCAATTATATTCTGTCAATGATTGGAAGCAGCTGACTCACTTTCGGGAAGTTTTGGAGTAATAATCCAGACATCCAAAAAGAATTCCGTAGTTTTTGAGAATATGTTTACTTTCCGGATTTATTTCGTGCATTTTCAGTCAACTGTTTTACTGTTTGGGAAAAAATAACAGCAAAATTGAATATTCTTAGGTTACTGTAGTTATCGTTATGAAATTTTCAGCCACGTTTCTCTTCCACATTTCCTATTCTTTTTTGCACAAGAACAATAAGCTGTGCAGAATAATTTTGAATTTTTATAGTTTTTAAAACATTCACTAGAAAGTTTCAAGCATCCCAGTTTTTTGAACTTTCGTTACACCAATTTTTTTTTCGATATTCAGTAGTTTTCGTTCAAAAATGTTATATTACTTCTTTTGACGACATCCATATTTTATTGTTTACAGTTTCTCACATTTTCCATGTTTCAGACATTTTGAAAATGTTCACAATTTTATGAGGACTTTGTTAGATCTTGATAACATTCTGTTAAGAAAAAAACACTAACTAGGGAATGGCCTGCCTCCACACGAATATTATTATTTCTCTTTTTATTGCATTTCTCTCCCTCATGATATATTATTATGATTGAGGGGACTGAAACCGGTTGGAAGGGATTTCTTTTTTGGAAAAGGAATCAATTTTTACTAAAAAA